CAAAGATTTCATTCCTTCATCAGAAACGTTACCAGTTAACGTCATTTTTTTTTTTCCCTCCCTAGAGCCAAAGCACCAAATTGAAGGAGCACGGCCCCTGCAGAGCAGCGTGGATGGGTGTGGGGAGTAAGGAAGTGGTGGCCGTGCCCCCTCCTGCACAGGTTAAGGGCAGGGGAGCGGATCAGGGAGCGCTGCCCGCGGGCTCTGAGCACTCACACGGGGTGGGACAGGCACCTCGGCATCAGGACACTTCCCAAAGCCATCAGGCAGAGGGGTCAGCCTGTCGTGCGTGTGTTTTTTTTTAAAAACTGCACGAGCTAATGCTTTAAGAGTGTCTTGATGGAATCAGGGAAATTGGATTGTCCCCCCATTTGCTGGCCTAAAACAAGCCTTTTTTTATTTATCCCATTAGAGGAACACAAGAGAAACCTTTTAAATGTCACTAAAATTTCCCCTGCATTGCAAAACCCAGTCGAAAGGGTTTTAATTTTCCCCGAGACCTCTTAAGTAATGCAGTGTGTCAAGGTTTAATACATCGTGTGCGGGGGATTGTCTGCTTCCCCAGGGCGAGGCTGTGGGGTCGGTCCTGTTCGCCGGACCCAGCCCCTGTTTGGGCTGAGCTCCTCAAACCAAACCGATTTAGGTCGGTTCTGGCCATGAAGGTGTGACAAAAAGCCCCGCTGGACCTTCCCCTGGGTCAGTGTGGGGTTCCCAAAAATGCAGCAGTGCCGGTCTCTCCCCGGTAATTTCCATCTGGGAGTTTGGGCGCTCTCGGTTTTGTGAGCGCCTGTAATTTATGGGCTTCACTTATTTATTTATGAGGACTAAAGAGACTTGGCAAGAGGCACTTAGGCACGCTGACACAAGGCTCCCAATTCCCCTGGAGTATTTAATATGACAGGCATCAGCTTAATACGAGGGATGGAGCCCAGAACTGACAACCCGAGGCACACAAAGCGCTCGCCTCCGCGGTGTAAGAGAAACACCACGGAGGATCTGGCAGCCCTGGGGCCTGGCACTGGTGCTGCTCCCAAGGGACCACAGCCACCTCTGCCCAGAAAAATCGGGGGTACTGCTGCTAAAACGTGATGTGGTTTGCATGGCTTTGGGACCAGGCTGCATCTGTGGGATGAAGGAACCCACATCGAAGCATCGGAGCCGAGACTTCAAGCAGCCTCTGGGCTGCAGGGACCGAGGGACCAGCAGCTGGTCCTGTCTATGTAATTCCTTCCTGCCCCCAGTTTTGGAGGCAGAGAAGGAACTGGAGGGTGATGGGCATCCTGCTGGGGTCACGTCAGCCTCACCCTCTGGTCCCCAAACTCACACAGGCACACTGGGAGCAGACAGCGCCGGGGGGAGTGATGAAGAGGAGGCAGCCCCTTGATGAGTAACGATAACACACCCCTGAGACTGAGACCCCGCTGCCTGTTCTTCCCTTTAGGGCTGCATCATCTGCTTCACGTCAAAATTCTGCAGGAAAATCAGAAAAAGGAGGGTGGTGGTGGTGGTGAGGGGGGTGAGATCCGAAGGGCTGCTCACCGGAGCAAGGGCTGCGCTAAAAGGATCAGGAGGTGCTGGGCCGAGGGGGTGGGGGAAATGGGATAAAGCAGTGGGTCTAATCAAATCAGCTGAAAAAGCTGCAGCCTCCCCGGGTTAACCTTGCCAATCAGCGCGGGAGAGGGAGCATGTCTGCGCACATTAACGCGGGAGCGCGTCCTTGAACCCGCCGCCGGCTCCATCCTCCCCCAGCAGGGCTGGTGCCCGGCACCCAGAGCCCAGCCCGGGCTCAGGACCCTCCTCAGGACCCTCTTCCCCATGGTTAGAGGTGAGCTGGAGGGGTTAAACCAGCAAGAGTTGGTTTAAAAACCCCGCAAGGAGACAAAAGGAGAGAGCCTCCCGCTGTCAGCCGCTGCCCGGCAGCTGGGAGATGCATTACCAAGCTCCACTAATGAGGGAGGGCACAGAAGTCACTTTAAAATAAATATTCACTAGGAATTACATGGGTGAGCTAAAGGGATTATCCCGCTGCCTTAACAGGTCCATAAACCAAACGTGAAGTGGTCTGAAAGGAGCGTTTGCCTTCGTTTTGACCCAAATCAACCCTCCCGCTAACAGCCACAGAAAGGCAGAGTTTGGAAACCGTGTGCCTGCTCTGTTGGCATTTTTCTGAACTCCCCCTGATTCTCAGTTTTCTGATAGAAAACCAGGACTGAGCTGCTGGGAGCCATGAGCCTGTGATGGAAAGGGCAAGGCTCTGCTGTGACCGGTGGCTGCACCCCAATAGCTCCATGCCTTGGTGTCCCCACCTGTGTGTGCCTCCACAGCAGGGGCTGAGCTAGGAGCTGGAGGAGCTGGTGGGCAGCAGCCTGGCGCTCCTGAGACATCTGCATGGTCTGGGGTGGCGGTGGGTACAGCAAAACCTGCAGCCACACACGCCTGAATTATACCTAACTGCAAAGCATCGTTTCAGAACCAAAGAGGAACGATCAGAAGTGCACAGGTGAGGATAACGGGATGCTCTACAGGTGAGGATAACGGGATGCTCCACAGGCACAACACCAAAGGTGCATCTCCAGCCTGGATGGGATGTGCTGGACGCGTGCCCACCCCACAGACATCTGCACGATTTTATTCTGGAGCCCACAGCCTGTATACCTGAATCAGCCAGTGAGCACGTTTCTAAAGACAGCTGTTTCTCTAAAACACTCTGAATTAATATTAAAAACACCACAGGACTATGGGAAGGGAAGGAACACAAACTCCTTTTAAATCCCACTGCTCCTGCACAGCCACGAGCAGGAAGGTAGGGCCCTCCTGGAGCAAGTTAGGAAGGTGAGAGATGCTCAGGCTGTAAAAATACAAGAAACCTCCTACAGCAAGGGTCCTGAGCAAACCCCCGGAGCCCTCAGGGGGCTCCTGCAAAACTTGGGGAACAGGAGAACCAAGCACAGTGGGAAGCTGGCAGAGAAAACAAGGTCCAGAAAAAAATCACTATTTAAAAAACTTGCTTTTATTGGTGGGAAAAAAAAAAAAAAGGTTTGCAGCCTTTATGTTGTTTAAAGATTTCTTCTAGATGCTCAGAAGATTTTTGGTTAATTTTTGGGTTAGAAATAGCCATGAAAGCCTAACTCAGCAAAGCCTAATTTCACAGGAGAAATCATGATTCCAGTTCCTGGGAAGCCTGGGCAATGGGAGTGGAAGTGCTGCCTGCCACCCACTGAAGGCAGCGAGGGCAGAGTGCTTTAACAAGCTCATTTTAGACTCAAATACCAGGCAAATATTAACAGCAAATAAAGGCACAGCTTTATATACACTCTCAGATGAGAGATCATTCCCCTAAATCAGATTTCTCCCCTCTGAAATACACGTTTTTATACACTTCCACAGCTACATTAGGAAAAAAAATTAACAGATAAAACTCAGGACTTCTGTTTTTAAAGAAAATAAATCTTCCCCTCCCTTTTCCAAGGAACAATTTTCAAGTCTTCTTTGGATATTGTAAAAGAAAGATAAGGAATGTAAATCCTCACTGACTTTCACCCACAAACAGTGGCCTGAATCAATCCTCTGCAGCCCTGCACAAGCCTAGGAACATCACTCAGCCTGCTCTAACCCCAAACCCTCAGGCTGTACAACAGACAGAGCTGCTATTTTCACTCCCTAGCCCTGCCAGCAAGGTGTGATGTTGATCACGAGCAGGGGAACTCACCCTGTGGACACTGACCCCAAAGCATGGGCTGGCAACATAAGCAGTTTCTCAATAGATAATTCAGAGCAGCAAACATGCTTACCCCCATCAACAGCACCTGAAGCCTCACAGAAGGGTGAGCCACCCTCAGTGCAGGATTTAAATAGGCAGCAATCACTTTCCCCGTGTATATTAACAGGGAACACCTGGGGGGCATGCTCTTGTTGGTTGCTTTGTGTGGCGCCAGGGATGTGTGTGTGTGAAAAGGGAGGCTGCTGAGCCCCATTCCTCAAAGCCTGCAGGCTGTGTTCAGCATGGGTATCCAAATATCCAAAATATCCTTTACCTTCTAGAAAAACTCCTCCAGAAACCTGTCAGTCCACCCAGAATAACTCTGTGCCTCCCAGTTGTGCCATGCAGCCTCCCAGCACCTGGAGCAGAATGGAAATGGCAACTGGGGAGCTTCAGGTTGGGCCAAACGAGCAGCCCTGCTTGGTGAGAGCACACAGAGCTGGTGTACAAGGCACCTCTGTGGCCGTGCCAGTGTCTGAAGGCTGAATTTGGGTGTGCAAACGTGCCGATTGCTGATTTCTTTGGGCTGATGTGGGCAGCAAGGTAAGGAATTGCCATGCCACACCTGGGGGCAAGGGGCTTTTGCTCAGGATACCCAGATGTGGAAGAGAGCTGCTATGGAGAATGGGTTGCTGTGGACTTGGATCATCCATCTCCTTCAGGAAATCCTTCCCTTTCTTGATAGGACCTAGAAGTTTGAAACCCTCCTTTTATTATCCTGCAAACCGTGCCCCACATCACCGTGACCCCAGGAAGGGAGAAGTCCCCAGGTCCCTGTGATTTCATGCCGTGGTAGCTGTCAGCAGAGCAACTGTGCAGCAGCATAAAATTCCAAGATAGACAGCTTCACTTGGTGGCTTTTCCCACCTTGAGTGCTCTGGAGACAATACCCTTCTCGGAGAAGAGGCACCGTGCTCCAGAGCGATGGTACATATTAATTTCTAAAAGAGGATTTTAATCATGCAACGTCCTCTGCAGTCGCACAGAATTTAATCTCATTGCTGACAGTGGGTGATGGGGGAGCATGTTAAGTGGAAAAGTTGTATTCAAGACCTCCTGGCAGATCTGTGCTACAGGCGGTCCCCTGGGAGGACCAGCACAACCCAAAGTGGTCTCTCCCAGCCGACCACCCCTGGCCAAGAGCCCCTGATGCACTCGCACAGCAGCGATGCAGGCGTGTTCCCAAACTTCTGTGCAAGGTTGGAGCACACGTATTAATACAGTTAGCATTTATCGAGGCTTACTTTACAAATATTGATTTATTAATCTAGGCAAGACCCAGGGATATACGCACATAATGCTCCCATGTTACAGTTACAGAAACCGAGACACACGCAGAAGAAAAAACCTGCCTGTCTGATTTACTCAAGGTCAAACAAGGAGCGCAGCCCACAGCCAGGATTAGTTTCAGGATGCTGAGCTCCCCACGCTCTGACTAGCAGGACGTGCTGTCCTTTTCCACGCTAGGTCTTCCCTCTCCTAATAAGATCTGCCCACGCGTAAGCCTCCATTAGTGAGAACCTTGCCTTCATTCCGTAATCTGGGGAGACAAAAATAAGCAAGAGCCCAAACCTGAAAAGCACAAGGTGTGAACTGGAACTGTCCCAGCTGCCAGCTAGACCCCCACAAGTGGGTTAGCATCCTTGTGCACACCTCCTGTGTTATCTTCAGTCTTGTCCCACTTTTATTGAGCAGCTTTACAGATTTTGTCCAATTAAACAAGCCTTAACGACGAGAAGGAATTGAAATAATGTGTTCTACCAGTTTTAATGGGGCTTTAGAGTTGTACAAGAAAAGTTGTACTTGGAATCATGAAAAAAAATCTTTTTTTAGAACCTCCTACCAAATAAAACTAACATTGTTTAGTGCTTGAAAGGCATAAAATTATTTTTTTTCTGCTAAAATAAAAATACTTCAATAATATATTTGAAATCAGGTTATCCTAAGTGATGGCTCGAGCAGAATACAATCCCATAAAATCACTGCAGTTAATGAAAAATAACGTATGTTTTCAAGCAGCATGCATCTGATGCCTGCTATCTGAAGAAAATCACCAGGTAAGTCACACGATAAACTCCTGTAACAACTCTTTTGAGGTATTAGACCAGCTTTGGACTATTTCTGGATAAAAATGAAGTAGGAGGCAATGGACCTACTAGGTCTTAAGAATGGTTAAGAGCCGAACTGAAACCTAAGCTAATCTTCAGTCACTCCTTCATTTTGCTCCTAAAATCCTTGATTTTGTTAACAAAACTTGGGCAGGAAGGGTTTCTGACACATTCTGGTAGTAAACATCTCCTTTCCTAAATGTGCCATTCACAAACACAAATACAATTCTGTTTATTTTCCCCCTTCCAAAACCAAGCCCCATCGCCATACTTCTGGTGAGATTTCAATTTATTTTTAAGGAGAATTTGAAAAGTGAAAAGGCTTTTCAATGAAATTCTAACTTCAATTCACATGCACCTAAAAATTAAGAGTGTGAATGAAGTAGGTTAAAATGCTCTGAGTTAAATTAAATAAACACGCACAGATGTTGTGTATCTGGTTAGCAAGAGAACTGAATTTACCATGAAGGCTACATCTAGTTGCAAATGAACATGTTTTAATAGTTGTTAACAAATGGGAATCAACCCTTCCTTGGAAAAGTAACTGAGAACTGGATTTAAATTGACTATTAAATTAATGAAATCAATCGAACCTATTGGCATCTCCCATTAGAGCCCCTTTTAGACGCACAGCCGGTGCCGGCGTGGCTTGTCCATGCAAGCAAAACCAAAATTTCTGCGGCATCCAAGTGGCAGCACAGCACCTCCCGAATCCATCCCTCCCGAATCCATCCCTCCTGAATCCATCCCTCCCAAACCACGCCAGAAGCTGTGAGCCCTAATGCATGCACAGACCTCTCCCAGCCCGAGAGCATCCATTAGGACGCGGAGCCCACTAATGCGTCCTATTTTCCTGTATTAACCGAGCAAACGTCAAAAAGTGGGTCCCCGTAACAGCCTGACCCACTTCGAGAGTCCACTGAAGCCAAACTGACTTTTAGTTCTCCGGAAAAAAAATACAAATTGTGCTTAAATAGAAAGCAACCAGTTGCAGCACCATGGGATTAGGTGGCTGAACCCCTCAGCGGGCGCAATCAGCTTAGCGGCACCAAAGATCACAACACGGTGAGCGCAGCTGTGACACTGAAGGGGAAGGTTTGCATGAGGCTGGAGTTTTTTTCCTTTTATTTCCAGCCTTTTTCCCTCTTTTTCTCCCTCTCTCTGCAGTCACATCCCCACCGGCTCCGTTAGCGTGAGGGAATGAAGGAGGGAAATGGGGAGGGAGGAGCAATTTACATCTGGGGGTCAGCACGCTTACACGGCATCGTTAATTCAATTAAATGGCCAAATAAAGCAGGGCTAGGGGGTTTCCCAACTGAGGTTAATTTTGACTTAATTCCCATTCTGCCTGCCGGTGCCAGACACACAGCGAGGTGACCTGCTGCGGGAGGGAGTGCTCCCAATGTCCTGCTGCCCTCCTGCCAGCCTCCTCTTGCACCAAAACTAAGGGAGACCGAGAGGAAGGACTCAATTCTCCTGCTTGCACTGGCAAATTTTATCTGTCTCTTAACCTATCCACCATTAACTATTCTGTTTCTGGGATTTGGGGCATTGCTTCCCCCAGGAAACCTTCCCTGAAGTCCAGGTGAGTGCAGGAATGTCTCAAAGCAGGCGAGGATCAATGCAGGAGTTGTGGGAATCCCTTACCCGGAGGAAACTGCTGGATGGACATGGCAGAAGGAGGAGCTTCTTGGACAAACCATTCCTGCACAGCTGGCTAAGGAAGGACATCTGATGTCCAGGCTGGAAAAACCCAAGCCTGTGCAGCTGCACTTTTGCACAAGAATTCCAGCAGAGAATTAATTTCTTCTCTTTTTACACAATAAAGACCTTTTTTAGTACTGCAAAGTCTTGAAGTCTTTAAATTAACCAATGCTTGAAGACCCAGGGCGCTTCCTAGAGCTACCACGTGCTCCTCTTCCTCAGCCAAGCCTTCCTTTGCTCTCTCCAAGATGCCAGCTCAACACCCCGCTGCCGCTCGTTCTCCCCAGCAGAATATCTGCCTTCAGCACTTCTGCGTGTACACAATTTGCAAAGTGCTAGGCAAAGAAGCACGCCCCGAAACGGCAAACCCACCAGGAACGTCAGGAGGACAGATTTGCACATGTCAAGTCCATCATCTCGGGATGCTTTCAAAGTTTTGCTTTTTTTTTTGTGGCTCTACAAAACACATCTCCGGGGCCATTATATGAATTAGTTGCAAAGGGGTGGGGGAGAAGGAGGAGCGCTTAAGAACAGCAATACACCCCTGTGAGGACATTGAGAAGCATCTGGCTCTGAGATATTAAGAAAGGGGAAAAAAAATTAATCATGCTGCCTGGGAAAAAAACCTGGCATCAGCACAGGCACCTTGTCATAAGGCAGATATTAATAATGTGAACCCCCAGGGAACGCGCCGCCAGCTGAAAGATCCGCTCGTTGGCGATCACAGCGCGGGCAGGTTTAACTGATGCCTTTTTGAGGCCGTTTGAATCTTGCTCTAAAACACTTAGGATTTTTTTTTTGCAGCAAAACGAACCCTCAGTGCTCAAGATTAAAGAATGACTGCCTTACTCTCTCTTTTTCCCAGGTACCGGCGTGCACGAGGGAGGGCAACGCCGCACCTTGCTGCTCCCCAGCGCTATAACCAGGGCAGCAGCAATAACCAGAACTCCCATTTTGCAGAAAATTTGTTTCATGACCAAAACATAGCAAATTTCTCCTTTTTTTTTTTTTTTTTATCTACCTTGTTGCTTCTCCAGAGCTGCAGAAATCGTTCTCGCCTAGTGCCTTGAAAGCAACCACGATAAAGGAACCACTGATCTGCTGGCAGAGTGTTGCTAAAAGCACACTGGGCACCCAGGACACAACCTTACAGGTATCTGCTCACCTCCTGGACCATCCATGGCTATCTTACAGGTACTTGCTCACCTCCTGGACCATCCTTGACTAGCTACAGCTCCAGATTCACAGGATACAAACACAATCAACTCATGGAAACACAGCACCAGCTACAAAATAAAGGTCTCAAGGATAAAATGATTGAGAAGCACCGAGTTGGATGTTTCTATGCTATTTGATGATGTAGGAGCTAACAAGCGGCTACATCAGATAAAACAGGTTGCAGTTGGCAGATCTAGATGGCAATTCCCCAGCTGGGGAATATCGCTGTGGCATCCGCAGGTTGGAAGCAGCACACTCCGGCGTGTGAATGGAAGATGACACCCCGGAGATAGCACCAGGTGCTGTCAGCAGCAGGGCACCGTCCCTCCAGGAACGCGGTGCCACCATCAGTGCCACTCTCTGCTCAGATCAGACTTAATTCTGCAGCCGGCTGGCTGGTTTCAAACCACCCTGTCCCGAGAGGGACCGTTTCCTGCATGGGGTACAGCTGTGATACATTCCTATGCAAATTAATCAATTTTCTCTTTCCCTCTATGAAAAGTCTCCCATTTCTTCCCCGTCACTGAATTCATCTCCCAATGGACATGACAGAAAGCCACACTTGTAGGTTTATTTTTTTTTCTGGTTGCAGAAAGGGACACGTTCAGCCCCGAGATGCACGCAGATAAAAGCCCCATTGATTTCAGTAGGGGATTCACGTGTTTGTCCTTCATCAGAAGTCCTCGGGAATGACCCCTTGCCATCTTCTAAATCCCCAGAGGCAGAGTACCTCCGCCGTGCCCCTCTGTGTCACCGCCTGGGGAAATGCTGAGCCACAATTCCTATTCCTGTGCTGGTCTCTGGTTTGTTCTCCCTTATTTCCATTCCCTCAGCCTTTCCATTTGCACTACCTGTCGCTCTGCATCTGATGCCAAGAAGAGCTTCTGGGGAAAGGGACAGCCTTTGCTTCTCGCCTGATGCCTCAAGTGGCATTCATGCCAGCTTCAGCCATAAAAATCAGCTAGAACAGCTCAGGGCAACACCGAGCCCATCGCTCTCCATGTGCTGCTCTACCGGTGTGCCCTGCTCACATGCAGACGTAGAGGAACTGGGCACAGCAGTGAAAACTTGCCTTTTTTTGTAAATATTTTAAAAGCAAGATAAGTTTTTCTTTTCGATTCAAGTTGTGCTTTCCTTTTTCCGCCTGACAAAATAAAATCTAAGAGTTTCTGACTGTGTAGTTGTTCCTAGGTAAATTCAGAGAGCTGTTTCGTGTCGTAATTTATCCGTGCACAAGAGGAACACCTGGCAAAAAGGGGAAAAAAAAAAAAGATAATCTAAAACAGGTCAAAATGAATGCTTCCCGTGGTACACTCCAGTTTGCATCTTCTTCAGTTTGAGACTTCTTCCCAAGCCGCTGGGCTCCTGTGGCTTAGCAAGCTGCTTCCTACCAGCTGATGATTGCAAGCTGACCACCTCTACGCTTCACTTTTCCATCCGAGAAGAAAAATTGATGAGCAGAAGTCACCAGAGCTCTGAGTTTTTCTGCTGCTGTGAAATATCCAGATCGAAACTGCCTTCACGGTCCGCATTAACCTCGTTACTTTGCAATTAGGACCGGAGGTGAGGGTGCCCGCGATCACCTCCTGTCATACAAAACCCGAGCGCTCGGTTATCAAGCTATGAAAAATCGATCACCTGCAATTGCTGAGCCATAACTTTACAAACCTCTTCTGGGTTTGACCAGCGGAATTTAGACTGCAATGCTCAATTTCACACCACTTCGGAAGCCAAATTGCCGTGTAATCTGTGAGCATCGCTCGGAAATACCCTGACAATAGCATCGGGAATAGGGCATCGCGGAGAAGGCTAGCGGGCAGCTTCTGCGGATCTGGCTTCAGACTCAGATGTCATTTGCACGGTGTGACTGTGATTAAAACTTGAAGTTAAAAAGAAAAAAAGGAAGTTAAAAAGGAAAAAAAAAAGAGCAAACTGAAATTTCCTACAGACAGGTGTCCCTGCCCCTGGCTAACCAAGCACCTACCAGGCTTTTTCCGTAGCACGCTGCAGCCTAGTGCTTTCTGAAACGCTTCTCATCTTCCCTCCGTGCTGCAGAAAGTCAGCCACTCGCAGCTCCTTCCCTACCCTATCCCGTTTTGTTCATTAATCACTACCTCGTTTTGAGGGCCCTGCTGAAAGGGTGACATTTCTCATCTGTTCACCGAGCCGGGGAAGGAAAATGGCTCCAGAGCTGGGGCTTTCCTCCTCTCCATCATCTCCTGCACACACCAAGCTCGTACGGGAACGTGCCCAGCCTCTCCCAGCAGCAGGGACGTGCGGTGATCTCTGGTGTGTAGCTGCATGGCAGGAGGAGAAGCTGCTGGGGATAAGGCCACCTCCAGCCACCTGGTCCATCGCCCTGCCACCCCTCACCTGGAGCTGGCTGGGATGCATACATGCTGTGAATCAGACCTCTGAAACCAGCCTGGATAAAAATAAAAATAATTATATATATAAAATACATATAAAAATATATGTATAACTAAGGAAGGAAATATCGTAGGGGAAAAAAAATCAATTAAAAGAAATTTGCAAACCATCGTGTTAGAGCATCTCATTTAGAGCAGCCACTTTTTATTTGCAGGGCAAGTAATTGCAGTACTATCACAGCAGTTACACCCTGCACTGCAGGAGGTGACAACATTTTTAGGGGTATTTATTGTAAGCACACTAAATTCAGGACTGTACCCCGCAAATTAATTTTCAAGGGTGGCAAAAGTCAGCTGGCTAGAGCTGTTATTGCTAATAGCTAGAAAAGACCCACTTAATCACTTTGCATTTTTATTTGTGGAAGATAAAGAAACATTTCTTTCCCTAATAGTTCCATGCTTGTTTCATCTCATTTTGTCTGGGCTGCAAGATCTGTTTAATTTCATTTGATCGGTTTTCTCAGGGTCTTAGAACTACCATATTTTTATAATCTTGTTATATCCATGAGATAAAAAACAATTATTTGCCCCAGCATTTCCCAAATGGGAAACCAAGACAGAAAGAAATCAAGTGACTTGTTCAAGGTCACGCAGGATTTTGTAGCAAAACTGGAGAATTAGAAACCTGAACTCAATTCTTAATAAACCACGAGGGGAACTTCCTCGCTCAATCACCAGGGGTGCTGCAGGCTGGGACATCCAGCGCTACTTTTTTTTAATAACATGAACAACTGCTGATGACAAGCAGCAAACTATCTCCCCCTTCACTATAACAGGGAAAACGACAGCTGCCAATGCAGTTTTGTTACTGATTTCTGCCATTTATAAAGTTTTTAATAGCCTCAGGAGCTTTGTTTTGCCCTGGTCTATGCTGGGAAGGAACGGGGTAGCATCACCAGGGCAGCAGCAGTTTGGAGAGGGACAGCACCGACCTAGAGAGGAGGCTGAGGTGCTACGAGGCAGTGAGGAAACCTCAACAGCAGTTATACACACGCACTGAACAGCTGCCTTGTTCGCTGTGCTCTGTCCATTTGTGCATTTGAAGCTAATGTCCTGCAGTGGAAAACAAGAGGTGTTTTCCGGAGGCAGTTTCAGGAAGGTGTGAGGGTGCACCTACCACTTATGAACACCAAAATACCATCAAGGTAAGCCTACAAGCTGATCAGCCAAGATATCTCACCTAGAGCAGAGGGGTAGAGACCTTTTGAACGTTTTTGGCAAGTGGGACACTAAGAGATGCTTTAGGCTGATGCAGCGCTCACAGGGAGGAGGGGGAACGTCAAAGAGCCCCTGGCTGCATCCGAGCTGCGGTTTGCATCTCACTTCCAAGCGGTGTTGAAGTACATTGGCAGAACAACATCCATCAGAGACGGATCAAATGCTGACCACAGCAGGATTTGTCCTCTACAGAGGATACGAGCAGAACAGTTGAATCTGCATAAATACTGCATTAATAACAACCGGCCCGGGTGAAGATAGCATCTCGATATCAAGCACCAGGCAAACACCTACCTGCTAAGAGCTCGGAGAAGCTCCTGAGGTTGCTACTGCTGATGAGTACTCCAGAAGCACCAGGCAGGGCTGCGTGGACAGTATGGTGTTCAGGGCTCAGGGTAGGACCTGTTGGCTTCTTTCCCTAGGACCAGGGCTGCAGGTGACTCTCAAAGTCACACCGCAGAGCTGTGGATAAGGACTGGGGGTCCCAGCCAGATACAAACCCATGCAGAGGGAACATTTTGGAGGTCAGAGCAGAGAGTGTCTGCGTTTCTGAAGATCAGGTGAACCCACACCTGCCTCTGCTGGTTTCTCCACCACGACAGAGCTACCTCAGTGGTTATTTACACTGCCCTCTTCCAGCTTTCCTCTCTCATCTAATGTAAACGTGCTATAAATACAGGCTTGGCGTAAAGCCCATCAATCCACCGCTCAGCTCCCCCGCTCCTAAAGGCCTTTCTCTGGACACGCTGTGATTTAGCTCCAAGTTCCTGTAAGTCTGAGCAACTTCTTCCAACCTCCGTCAGCACTAATGTGACACGTGCCCTTGTGCTACTTCCGAGACACCCGTACCTTGAGAAGCCGAATCCAAATTTCGGCACGACTCACGTGGACGTCGTTACGGGCGTCCTTCTTCTGCGGCTCCCACGAGCCCTGTAGGAGTTCCTCGGGGTTTTGGAGGGAGCACTGAGGAAAGTCACCCAACCCTGGGCATGCCACAGGACTTTGCCCTCAACAAGACCAAGACCTCTGCCCAGTGTCAGATAATCCGTCACTATAAGCTACTTGTAACCAAGCCAGATATTTATTGCTATTGATCTGCCTGGTCCCAGCGAAAGACTTTTGTTCTCCCAACCCGGGACTTTGACCTCAATTAAGTTATGAATTTCAATCCGATAGACTGCTCCACTTACCCTGCTGCTCTCCCTGACTGGATTAATTAGAATTAGCTAGGCTGGGAGTCACCCCGAGCGCCTCATGGATCATGTTATTTTAATAATAAATAAAGAGACGGCAGCAGCATACAAGGAAGGATTCTGAACGATTGTTCATCCAAAAGCATCATTCAGAACCTGCCAATACTAATTTCTCCGAGTTTGATTACCTCATTTACTTCTTTTTATTTCTATTCATTAATTGAGTTTTATCCCCCATTACTTCAGCTCCCCAAATGTGCCCTTCCTATAAAGGAACCAGACGCACGCGTTGCCGTTCCAAAGTTTTATCGCTGCAGCTCATCAAAAGTAGAGTTAGCAGGAATGGAATAGTCATTAAGCATTTAATAATCTAATAGTGCTGAGAAAATATAGATATAATGGGTGGGGGGAGAGGAGAGGGACGAGGCAACCCTGTCTGGTGCCACGGCGCGTGCACTAGGGCCTCCTCACGGATGGTAACTTGGCTGGTGGACAAAACCGAGCGCCTTCAAGGAGGTGACATCCCACGCTGGAGATAACGCATATATATCAATTAGGGTATTTTCTGACAGCACAATAATGCTTCTGCAACGAGACTAAACTGGGCTGAATACCGAAGAAATGTGATTGGCAAGGGGAAGTTTTTGAACTCGGGAGCTGAGGCCTGATGGCTACATTATCCTTATTACTTCTCCTTCTGTACAAAAGCAATTACAGACTTGAAGATGTCGGCTTGCCCAGGACGGAACCGAAATGGATTGTCTCAGCCAGTCATGTCACAGACACACTACGGAGTTATTGACCCATAAATGAACACTTATTTGTCATGCTCATTTTAATGTTTAATTGGCTGGAACAGGAGGAACAGATTTAGACGATGGAAGTTTACCAATTTTTCAAAGGCTGGAACACAGCTTGCAGAAAGCCAGGTCCCGACCTGAGAAAACACAGCAGAAAGCCTCAGTGCACCTTCCACCTTCATCTAAGTTCAGGCCTTCATTTTGTAAGAAATCCTTCTTAGGACAGGCTGATTTATTTCAGCCAAGCTGAGCCTTGTAGCAGGAGACAGAAGGCTCATTTAAACGCGGGATGTTTAAGCTGGGACAGCCAACCAGTCTGTTAGGTAAGCCAGAAAGTTCCTGCAGTGTGGGATTTGCTGTTTTCCAGCAATGAAGCAGCCACCTGGAGAGATGCAGAGGGAGAATGGTTCCAGCCTTTGCTTCCCTGTGCAGGTGAGCACCGCTGAGCCGTCTGCTGCACCTCACCCCAGGGGTTCCTGTCCACACGAATTTCCAAAAGCCTTCCAAATGCATCCTCGCAGAGGCTATTAAATGCTACTGCTGGAGAACAAGAGGGAAGGTCCTTGCACTGACTGGTAACTGATTACAAAGGTAACAATTGAATAGGGATAAGCGATGAACTTGCACAGTTGCTGGTGATCACTCCAAGGGCTCAGTGCGAGGGCTTGGGTTGTAAAGCAAACACGGAAGCAAACAGGGGAAGCAGGCTGAGAGTGAAGCATCCTCTGTTACATCTTCCAAAGCAGCATAAGCAAAGCTGACTGTAAAATGCTATGAAGAGATCTCAGAGTGACAGGACACTTAATAAACAGTTAATAAACAAAAAGGAGGCATTAGAAAAAAAAAGAGAGGAAGTAAGAAAACATCATTATATTGCTTCATTAAGATTCACATTGCACTTAGAGCAGGGGCATGGAGAAGAGCTACTCGCATGTCTGGAAGAAACCATGGAGGAACTAGAAATGATTCAAGGAGATGCAAAGTTACTGAGCGGCTTCCAAGCAGGGCACAATTAAACAGATTAATTTAGAATTAAACTTCTCAGTCTGACAAAGAAGTGATCAAGAAGGCTCAAGGAGGCTGATAAAGCCAAAAGCAGGACAGAAAAGGTAACCAGGGGAACAATTCCTGTTCCTCATTGCACCAGAACGATGGGCTCCCGCATGAAATCACCGTGGCACGTGCAAAGCAACTGGAGTTCAACCACAGAGCTCCCACTGGCATAAAAGGCTGGGACCCACAGAGGGACGAGAGAAAATTATCAAAGGAAAATCTAGGAGCACAAAGATAACAGCAGGGGTTTAGGAAGCCTCCAAGCCACACGCTTTGGGTAAATATATAAAACTATCTCTATGCTTACCCTGTTCTGTTCCCTATGCATTTACTCCTCCTGCTGTGAGGGACGTGATACTGAGACTGAAAGAGTCCTGTGTTGACAACTATAATCATGGATGCAGAAATGAGATACAGAGGTTGAGAGGTGGAAACCTAAATTAGCTTTGCCATTTTAAGTGCCAGTTTGCCACTTATGACCCATGGAGTCAAGCAGCAGCTGTAAATTAGTAAAAATCTTATTTAAAATCTTTTAAAAAGAAAGCACAAAGCATTACTGTCCCAACATCCAAAGTGTTAGGATAAAGTCAGTCTTAATTAGGAAAACTAGGAAAAGCTCTTCGCCTCAAAGCCTGAAAATTCAACATGCCCCAGTGATGTGCTAGAATTTATTTATTTATTTTTTTACTTTAAACAAACTGGGAGAGATAACCAACGACAGCTGACTACAAAATGCCATTTGGGAAGTAAACCCAGACTCTCCCATATTGAAAACTCCTCAGAGAAAACCAGTGGCAGGATTTAGCTCCTCCAAAGCAGGGAAAACTTCTTCAAGTTTTCTCTAGGAACCATCTCCCCTGAGCAGAGGAGATGGCTGCTTGGCAAAGGCTTTTCCCCTGGCACAGAGAGTGATGCCTGGGATGTAGGAAATGAAGCAAGCTGCAGACCATTCCTGTGGTGATGTGTTCACCTGCAAAACCAGCTTGGCTGCCACTGGTATCCTGTTTGTGCAGCTCACCAAATACCTTAATGAGGGGCTAAAGCATTTCCAACAATGACTTCAGAAACGGCAGGTGCTTATTTCGAAGATGACCCTGGGACAATGGGGCTTGGGACCATCCCAAGTCCTCGCAGGGAGGCAATTCAAGGTAAGGACATTTCCTGCATCTGCAAAGCCATGTACAGACAGTAAGGAATAAAACACACGTTTCTCCTCTGCACCAGGATATAACAGGCAACAGAGTGCCACCTGCACCCATCTAAGAGCTACCTGCTGCTGGCCTGGCTCCTGGGAGCACGCAGACTGCAGCCACCACACTGCACAAAGCTGTGCTAATCAGGCACAAGCTGTCCTGATGCAGAGCGCGGTCACGCTTCCTGAGCCTGCCCGAGATAAAACTCCGTGCCTGGTGGCAAACTGCATTCCTCCTGCACCAGCACTGGCCACGCAGAGTGCCTCCCTCTGCACAGCAGAGCCCTGGGGACAAGGTGATGCCCACAAACGGTGCAATCCCACAGCAATTCCCTAAAATGTGCTGCTGTCCCTGGGCCCTCGATTTAATCCCTGCATTTTGATTACCCTGAAAGCAGCTTTGAGGGTAAAACAATGCAGACTGCCGCTAGTTTTTCAGGACAGGCTCCTGGATTTCACTTCTTCAAACGCTGCTTTTGCACGGAGAGGTTGAAAGGACTGCGTGGATCCTGAAATCACTGCTGGAACCACACAGAAGCAGGCTGGTGAGGCTGCTTTGCAGGCAGTGCTGCACGCGCGCTGCCGGAGCAAGGGTGCCAACTGCTTTGCTGCACCAGCAACGAAGCAATGATTCATATGTCTACAGGGAGCAGAAGAAACAAAGGCTGTACATGTCAAGCTGGAAGATGGGAAGAGACAATGCGAAAAAAAAAAAAGAAAAAAAATCAGCATGCACAGGCAGAAGGAAACATCTCCGTGTCCTTACGATCTGGAGTTCGTGTTGATGAGACCTGAGGTGTCTTCAGAAGCACGAACCAGGGACGAGTCTCCGCATCCCCCGGCATATATTAAGAGCTGCAAACATTTTGCAAATGCTTCTGCTGAAAGGGACTTTTCTCCCAGTAGGTAAAATCAGCATCTGCTGAGTGGTGACCATTTAACATTCAACCTGCTGCCAATCTCCATTCCACAGAGAGACCCACAGGAGAGACATGGAGCGGTGCCACTTCTAATAACTGTGTGACTGGCACCATGTCAATGCTTTAATGTAGAAAGCTACCCTCTGTCACTAAGCAGATCTCTCCTTTCTTTTGGCTAATGGATTTCACACCCATTGGCAACAACGTCAGGACTGAAGGGGTGTAAGCCTGCAGTCTTCTGAGATCTGCTTGGCAAAGCCGACTACAGGAATATTGAGATAGGGACTGGGGGGGGGTTATAAAGGAGGAAGAAAACTACTGTGGTTAATAATTCTGCTCTCATTACTCGTTGCCTTGCCTTTCATCTTTGTTTAGTTTCTTCATCCATTTGCCATCGTGCGTCCTACTGCAGCGATGGTCACTTCAGCAGCACCTGCAGCGGCATTTGCTTGCGGCGAGCGTAACGCCGCCAAACCTCTGCAGCACTCGTCAGATCCAGGAGAGGGTCCTCATGGCTTTACGAGCCAAGCTTTTAGTATATTCAGGGGAAAATTTATACCAGGGCCATTAACAAAAAGGGCACAAGGCTCAGGTATTTTCCTTTTTAAATCTGATGAGGTTTAGAGAATGGCCCTAACAGCAGAGTACTCTGGTGGCTGGCACCTTACCTACAGCGGTGTTTGCTCTGATAGGTGGTGGGGGGCTGCACGGACACAGGCACATAGTCAACAGGGAGGGGAAAGCTGTGCAGGCACAGCCTGGGACCTCTGGTTCTTCGTCAAGAACCGTCAAGATGCCCACACCAATTTCCTCAACGTCTCCCTACAGAAAAACACAGGCACGAAGGCAGGGAGGATGTGTGCTGGCTGATACTGGCTTCACTTCCAAATGTTGCCTCCAACACAAGACCCACACAGACACCGAAGCACTTCATTTCCTTGCTGTGAAATCAGAATGAACGTAGTTGAAAGGAAAAATAAAAAATACAGGCAGTGACTTGCAGGCAAGGAGGTCTGACTTTTTCTCGCTTGTTTTTACCCTATGCGCACAAAATCTTTCAAGAGTCAGGCAGGAAAACAGGAAAACTAAACAAACAAAACCAAACCAAGAGACCACCAATCTTGGCAATATTTGACATACCCATAATTTCTACTTCACTTTTAGCTAATGGTGGAAATTAGTCTTTGCACAGTTGATAAAAATCAACCTGTCTCTGCCGGGTTAGCCCCATGATCTGTGGCCCAGCAACTACCTCTAGTACAATTGATTTTCCTTTTTGGCAACCAATAGGCCAGTCAATAATAATGTTGTTTGAGAAGGATTGAGTCATGAGGGAGATGAACCCTCCCTGCCATTTATTATGTTTGTATTGTCTCCATTTGAAAAGGTTTTTTTTTCCCAATGAAGACGTGACCGAGGGGACAGCCACCCCACGTCCCGGTCTCCAGAAGCTCTCTGACTCACCATGGTGTTAGCATGCAAATGGAGACGATGGTAGCTGCTGTCTGCTAGATGTTTGTGGCAGGAGACTGGGAGAAAAGACAAGCCAAGGAGGCAATCACGCTCCTCTTGCTACTCTTGGAGGAAAAAATAGCAAAATTAAACCCAGCTAGCTCCAAATCACAAGCTAACAAGCTTCAGAGAGCTGTGCTGCCTTGGGAGTTAGTACAAGATGCGGATGCAACATCAGCATTGGCACCAAGCAGCAACCAACTCTCACTGCAGGCAGCCACAGGCACACGATGCCTTTCACTGAAATGACAGGTGTGCACGAACGAGTAAAACAAAATCCACACATACCAGCAACAGACTTCCTAACCTGGCAGATTCCAGCTTTGGTTCTCAAGTTTCCTCCCCAAACCCTTGAGGGTCTGTGGGTGACCCATGGAAAACTTACTGACAGCAGCTCTGAAGTCTCTGTACAGTGATGTGCCTGTACTGAGGACGTGAAGGGTCAGCAAATAAAACAAAAACTGTTGTTATAACTTTTTTCAACCCTGAAGTACTATAATTAGACTGCAGTTTTACATGTACAAATGATTTCCATAACATCGATAAGCTGATTAATAGAACTGCACGATGATGTGGTTTAAGTCATAAAACAGAAATATTTGGGTACAATTTTAACTCAGCAGCAACCCAAATATTGATTCAGACGTAGTCCTTAATTACCCTGTACGCCAAGTGACACGGTCCCACCAGCAGCTAACAGCGTTTAAGACTCATCCACGTGGCCAGGTCGAGTTGAAGAGCTTTCTCAGAGTAAGCAGAGTAACCATTCCAGGACAGGTACTCACGCTTACCCTAAGGCATACCGTCAATGCATGGATTATTCCAGAAAACAAAATTACACACAAATGCAAAAAAAGTGCCTTCACAGCAAGACCAGGATGAGTCGCAAGTCTCCTGTTTTGATGTTGTAGGTATGAGATAGTATTCATCATTTTCCCTCCCACTGGACAATTATTAGAGCACGATGCCCTTCATCTTTCTTAAAACAGCACTCATATTTTGTAGACTTGAAAGCTGTGATGCTCCCTGCACGGGACGACCACTTACACGGGGCTTTTGTGCCAGAGCAGCAGGAGGAGACCAGAGTTGGAGGCATCCAACCCGGCCCCAGGAGCACTTTTCCACAGCACGCATTGCAAGGAAAAACTGTCACAACTGAAGCTTCAACGGGGGAAAAAGGTTTCCCTTTGTTGCTTGACCTTCTGCAAGGAAAACTTATTCATGTCTTGAAATATTTTAAAGCTAGAAATTGATATTACAGTCATGTTGCCCGAGCTGCTTTGTAACTGCTGGGTTACAGATATGCTCCCCTTCCTTCCACGTCATCGCTCAGCTAAAAGCACACACTTCAAGCAAGCAGAGCTTGCAGGAGGCTGTTTTCAGACCTATCCCCGAGCGCTGGGTACTTCCAGCAGAGCCCCAAAACACCCAACCACCACCCACTTCGAAATGGCCTCTGGCTCTAAAGATTTAGGTAATTCACTCACACAAACGCCCCTTTGAAACTGCATCACCACCATTTAAACCAAAAAACACGGTGCAGGATCGTGGCAGTCCAGAAGCACAGCATGTGGTGATTCCAAGACCTGAAGCTGTTTTGAACATGCCACAAGAATGAGCGGTACTGAGGTGGTAATGGAAGGGTGTAAATCTGTCAGGCTGCTGGACTGATTTTTAGAAGCATGCTAAAACACAGGTAATTTAAAAAATAAACATCAGTCTGTAAGATCTCTCTCCTTCACTATCTCACCCTCACAATCCCGAAATTTATTCTCTCTCTTACACTGCCTGCATTTAGGTGCTGAGATGGGAAAGCACCCAAAAACTCGAGTGGGTGGCAATTGCAGAGGCTGTTGGCACACCGGGCTGGGGCAGCCTGCGAAGAGAAGCTCTGCTGAGAGCACGTTGGGCTGAAATAATTGCGCCACTGATTCAAGGCACCAGAGATTCCCTTACACCCTTCTTTATAGCCCTGACATTAACTGACAGAGCTTTTGGTAACGGGTAAGAGCAGACACCGCAGCATTTATGGCCTGTTAGGAAGCCAGAGTTTTTCCCTCTCCCTTTTTTCTTTAGGTTGCTCTTCACAGAGTTCTTTCTGCTCCTTCTCTGGATATGAATTCTCACAGGGGAAAGGTCAAAATGAAAAAGAAATAAACATTGGTTCACAAAGACTTGAGATGTTATTGCAATTCATAAATGGTTGAGAATAAAAATGTGTCTGCCTTCTCGGGGAACACACCTACGTGCAAAACCAGAACCTTTATAAAAATTCTCCTTTATTACCTTGGTGGAAAAAAAATCAAAGATTGATTTTCTTTTTATGGCTATTATTAACCTTTTGTTACTGGCCAAAAATAATCTGGTTGGAAAATGTGCAATACATCAAAAAAAAAAGGAGAATTTAACAGAAAATTAATGCTCAGGGAAAAATAAGATGATTCTTCATTCAGCCTTTTCTTCTAAGAGTCAGCCCTTACCCCCAAGAAATGAGACAAACATCAAAAAAGTGAATTTTCAGACTGCTGCCATGGTACAGCACTCCAAACCGAACCCACTCCTGGGCTGTTGGGTTGTTGGCTCCTCTGGAGCTGTGCTTCCTAATACACATCCCATCTGCAATTCTGCTCAGACAAGGGCCAGAAAGACTTTTTTTTAAAACAAAGATTTTGTGTGTAAGTACTAACACAGCTGTTTTTAACCTATGAACATTACAGGTCTGCTGAGAAGCCTGCAGGTTGAAAATGTGGTTACGGTTGTACAAGTTCCCGAGGTGCCTATCGCAAGGCTGTTTAAGCCACTGTTGGTAAGAGCTAGCAAATTTGTCAAGAGGTGCACGGGCAGGAGAACAAAGGCTGCAAAAGCCAGGCTGGTAAAGAGCAGTCAATCACAATTTGACAGAGATATGTTGAACAATTATTTCCGAATACAATCCCACTTAGACAGGTTAGCCCTTCGTTACAAGCTGACAAAACGAGGAGCAGCTTCGAGCTGGCTGGCCAGAAGGCACCAAGCCCTTGCTAAGCTGTTGCTGAAGCAGTGCAGTTCCCAGCCTGGCGTATTAAGGGATGCCAAAATTGCTGCCAGTTTACCTCTGACGCTTTTGGATGCTCTTCTCTGTGATTAATGGTGTGAAAGAACTTGCTGTGGAGTCTTGGAAGAATTCAGAGTGTGAAATGTTTGGTCAGGCGGCTACGTAACATTGCTCAGGTTCAGCCTTTCGTTCCTTACCTGGCTGTTAATGTCGGCAGCGTGCTGTAACAGTACTGAAACGAGCTCCTTGTGTCCTCTGTCGCATGCCCAGTGGAGCAGAGCCCTGCCCTGCAACATCCGAGAGAAAATTATCAGAGAGAGCCAAAAACAGCCCCAAAAAACTAGTCATGCTACGAAGTACTGAGTACCAAGAACAAACACAAACAAAATAAAAGGTATATAACACACTGGTGCTCCTGATCTGGACTTGAAACCCATGTTTCATGGGGAAAAACTTGACCCCTGTTTTTCCCAATCCTACACAAACCAGCCCCAGACCTTTGGAGGTGAAAGCAGTTAGATCAGCCACCGCCTGGCCATAAATCTCTCGACACAGTGGCGGTGAGCAAGGTGAGCAGCTCATTCATCTGCTAACGGGAAGCACGAGCCAAGCTTCCCAAGCTGAGTGCCAAAATCTGCAGGTGGGGCAGGAGACACCTGGGGCTGGAGCTCGCCCTCCTCCTGCCGGGCATTCTCCGGGAGCAGCGGAGGCAGACCATTATTTTGAGGGAGGAAACGTGAACTCAGGCACGAGGCATTAAGCTTTTTAACACACTTTTTGACCCAGCAAGTAATTAATTTTTTGTAACGCATAATTTTAATGTTACACTAATTAACCCTGAATCAGAATGAATTCTCTGACAATGACTTTCCGCGGAAGCACCAGTGACATCCATGGGGCCGTTTACTGACGGATGCTCTTGTACTCAACACCACAATCAAAGTCTGAGAGGGAGGGAAAGAGTAAAATAAAATAAAAAAAGTAAACATGGAAAGATCTTCAATTTCTCTTTAGCATCCCTAAGTCCTACCTGGGCTGGTAATTACTTAAAAATAAGGATTTCAGTTGGGCAAATAATAGCAACTTCTTTATGCCAGACGTTTATTTCAGAAGCAAGAAGCACGACCTGCAATATGCACAGTAACAGTCAGTACTTCCAACTGCTTGCTCCACTTTCTTTATACGTGCATACAGGAACAATATCAAAATTACACAATTGCAATTTTTGTGCAGTTTTGGGGCAAATTAAAGCCATTTCTATCCTTTCGATGAAACTCAGGTTATAGTTTTGTGGCTCTAATCTGTTGTTTTGCATTTGGCTCCAGCCAAACAGAATCTTATTTCATGTTATTGGTGCTGAATTTGGCTGAGACCGATGAAGGAAGACCAGCAGCTCAGGAGGAACTGGGCTGCTGATTCTGTGAACTCAGCGATGCTGCAGCAGGGTGCAACTGGTCCCTTCCTACCACGCCGGACATCTGGTTCTGCTGCAAACGTTGCCTTGTGAACACGACGAGAAACCGAGGTCCGATCACCCACAGTCATTAAAAATCTCCTTGTGCTATTTGCAGGAGTATGGATTTCAAGTCTTGGGCCAATTCCACTTTGGATAATTACACTCTGCTTACCTATATATTTTCTCTGCAATTCTAAATGGGTACAATATTTTCCAATTAGTGCCTTAAATGGCTCTGCATTGTAATCGTGCGCTATTAAGCAGCTGACACGTTCCAGCCCAGCAGCGGCTGCACCCCTGCAGCGTGTTATCTCCTAAACACTGGGTGCTGGGGACTTCAGAGACCTCCTCTGCACAAGCACACCGTTTGATACGGAAGTAAAAATACCTGCAGAAGAGTCTCCACTTGCTTACGACAGAACAAAAATTGCTGCCAAGAAACTTATGTTTAAAACCAGAAGATGCTCACTGCTGTTTGCATAGAATGGAGCAAATTAAAATCCTCAGGAGTTCTAGCTACAGGTAGTTAAGACAGCTGTACAGCTACAAAGCCAACTTGTTTCCCATGTCCTCCTAACAAGAAAAAAGCCTCGGAGATGAGCCAGACGTCAGCTGGATGTAGGATCTCAGCTCGCTGTGCAGCAGGGCCATCACCTACCCACAGCGCAGAATCCTTTAGCCTTGCCCAGCTGTTGCTTGCTATCAACATGTGTCTGTGTGGTTAAACGACAGGGCAGAAACGCGGAGAGCCACAGACTGAGCTTTCCCAAAGCACTTCCCATACGACTATTTCATTAGGCAGTAAAAAACTCGGACTGACAGCAATAATTTTACAGGGGAAAGCACTGCAGGGGCGAGGTCTTGCCCAAACGCAGTCAGACATCGAGGTGCTCGCTCCCTGCAGCTCCAACACACACCAGTTGTTGCAGAAGTTACGTGGAAGGCTGCATTTTCCCCTGCCTCTGAAATATTTAATAAAATAAAATAAAATAAAAGCATAAAAATAGCCCCAGTGCACTAACCCTGCCTCTTAAATCTTCTGTGCTTTGCCTGGACAGCCACTGCCAGCTTGGCCAGCTCCCGCAGCAGCTTCTCCAGCCAGCAGCATATCAATTTTGCTCAGCTCCAAGTCACAGGGTGTTCACAAACAAAGCACAGGACAGGGATTTGTCTCGGATACACCGAGCCTCGGCAGACGAGCGGATGGGAATGATTTTCCCATCAATTAGCCTGTGCAGAGAAAGAGGAGAACAAAGCCAAGCCCGGCGGATACACCCCGATATCAGGGTGTCCTTCTAGGTACCACGTTTGCAGCTGGAATGGTCGTACACCACCGGCAGCTGATCCAACCTGGAGCAAGGATTTTATTTCTGGTAATTAAGGAGAGAGATGTGTAAAGGCTGCGTCCCCTTCCTGACACTGGGGAGGTGGTGAACGGGAAGGCAGCGGTTGCAAAAAGCCAGGTGAAATTCAGCTTTGATTTGGAAGTCAGTCACTTCCAGAGCAGGGAAACATTCAGGGAAATTCTTCCTTAGCAGCCCAGAAAGGCGATGCTGCTTCGAACCCATTTCCACCTGCCCTCGCCTTGGCAAGCTGGCAGCAGCTTGGCACTCGCTGTCTCAACAGCATGGGAACCGGGGCCCAAACGAGCAGCATCCAGACGCCTTTTATCATTAAGCTCTGGCAAGGGCTTAAATGCTGCACACAGGTAACATGTTTGTTTATTGGGATTTCTCCAACAATTATAAAAAAAACCCTCTCTCCACAGCCTCCATGGCCCTTGGCACAAATTACAAGAGCAGCTCATCTATGCTTCTGGACAACTTCTGGTTAGTTAATAGTCGAAGAAATATTTTTCCCATAAAGGCAGCAAACAATCCACGCTCCCAGAAGGTGCCCGAAGCCCTGTGGTAACCCCACAGCCACAGTCCATTTCTTCTTCCATTAATCCTGCTGACACACGCATGAGGAACTGGTTGTTTTAGTCTGTGCGACTTCTCCTAAGTGAGTGCAAGCCATCCTGCTGAACCCTGGGCAATTTAGATAGAGTAAATGGAGGCTTGTACATGATTACTGCCATTAGATTCTTTGTCTAATTCTAAATTGAAGTTTATTCTATCCAAACTGTTCACAGGTATGCAGGCTTCAGTGCTCTACATGAAGGTTTTTATTCATTTTTTTTTAAATCTAGGGAAGTAGACAGCTTATGCACCCAAAGTTGCCAAGCCCACCTCTGTCTAAAGCCTCCAAGACTTCTCTTGCCCCTTCTGAAATCCTTTTGCTTCTAAGCAGGCTTGTCCCCGTTTCACATTTTCCTTCTCATTTTCTCCTTTTGCTAACTTCTTTCAGGCTCACACCAAATTAGAGAGGATGCGATTAGATACAGGACAAACGCATCACTTGGAGATAAAACCTAAGCACCTTGCAACCTCAGCCGAGTCGTTACCCACGAGGAAAGGCTGTGCAGTTAGCAGGAGAGCGGTTGGTGCTTAGGAAGGTTTTGCTCCACAAGTTAACTCTTTGTACATATCCCTGCTGCCAGTTTAAATTTATACGTGCTTAAATCAAAAGACTGACAGCGTGAGTTATGTTCTGAGGGCTAGGGGAAGCATCTTCTGGGTACGGCGGGATATATTTATGCAGTAACACTAAAACAGTTAATGAAAATGACAAGATTATGCTTGCATACACTTCCCTCTACCAAAGGCTGGCTCTGGGTTATCTCCATCCTAAAATGGGTTCTAAAACTTCAATCAACCTGCACAATATTGGAAAATCAGCTGCACTCCAGATTTCGAAAAATACATTTGGATACCAAACAACACTGGTAATGGTTTCAGCTCCCTAAAACAACTGAGGTATTTCTTTCAGATCTTCCTTTTTGGTACCCTAACTTATTTATTTATTTGTCCAGTTAGAAACAAGCCAGCACTTGCCAAAAAAAAAAAAAAAAGGCTCCTACTTCTCTATGTCAAGCATTTGCTGGGGTAAGCAAAAATAAGCGATGCTGTGAGAATTTCACCTGCGGGGAGATTTTGCACCAGTGTGAACCACCCCATCAACCTTTCACAGGGTGCAGAGGTGTCACAGGTTTGCTGAAGCAGCTCCCTGCTCTGCAAGAGTCACGGGCTGTGAGCTCCTGAAACAGGCCCCCTCATCCATCGGACTCAGTAACTCTCAATGAGGATGTCACCTGGCAGTTTTCAGATCTGGCTCTGAATGTTTACCCTGAGAGCACAGAAATATTTCAGCCATCTTTCACAATTTCAAAAAAAGCAAAACGATTTCTTTGCCTGACAACAAGCACGTTTGCTGTTTGAATGCAAAGGAAGGTAACAGCTTCTGAACCTGCCTAACTAGGAACGAGCATCTCAGCAATGGAAGTGAAACGTGATGCTATTATGTACTTATTGCACGTGCATGATCTCCAAAGCGAGCTTTTATCACTTAAAGGACTCCAGCCATGTTCTGAGCTTCTGCCCTGGGTGCTCAGTGCTGTAGCCTGTGGTCAGCAGGAGCTCAGTAACGGCGCTGTTGCAGCGACCGTGTGGCACACGACAGCTTCAGCTCATTGAATTTACGATGTGAAATTCCAAGCCTGATGGCGAGCACCCTCCCTCTCCTCTGAAAATTAATTCACACGAATTCCTGATTAATAATAAAAGGCCCTGCCATCAGCATTCAGAGCCCCAGCCGGGGCTGTCATGGCTCAGAGGGCAGAAATCTGCTTAGAGCTACAGGAGAACCCAACTGAATTTGTGGCGTCTCAGTCTATGAATGTGTAAGCACTTCATCTGTTCACCGAGACACAATGTGCTGGAGAGCAGCGGGCAAAAGTAGCTGCACGTCCTATTGACCGAGAGCAGGGCTAGGTGGCAGTATGCAAGCACTGAACCCAGCGCGGTGAAGCTGGTTCTGCTGCACTTCCTGAGGGCTGAGCTGTCTGCTTCAGGTGTTCCCTGTCACCAAAAAAAAAAAGGATTGACACAATTCACATTTTAGACACTTGTCCTCTCCTTGAGGTTTCTGGCAATAGCTGCATTAGCTCCCTGTGGGGAAATGGAGTTTTGATTCTGATAAGAAAAAAAAAAAAGACTGGATAATGCCTCCAGAAAGGGGGGTTTGCAAGGGGTCTTACTCTGCAAGTTGCTGCTGGAAATAACATAGGAAGTTTCTGATATGCAACAGCATCACAGGGCATCCACTACCAGAAATAATTTTTTTAAATCTTTTTTATCCATACCTCTTCATCTGCAACATTCACATCCACTTTTTTCGACTGAATGGCTTTGGTTACATAGTCAATGTTGTTTTCTTTGCAGTAGTCAAAAATGTTCTTGTCCTCTTCCCTATTCAGGAAACAAAAGCAAGAGAAGCACCGTGTTACTGCACAGCACAAAGCCACGTGCACATCATACGCCCTGACTTTGCCACAGACATTTCAACAGCATCACTGGAGTGGAACAGACTCCTGGTACGGGGCATGCAGAACAATGTTTTTTTCCAGGTAAGAGAGAGAAGATCCTGCTTCCTAGAAAACAAAGGCTCTTTTAAACACGGCTGTGCCAGGGCAGAAGACTTGCTCCTGTGAGCTGGCACAAGTCTACGAAATTAGCCAACACAAACCACATTCAGCCCTGGTATAAATCTCTGCAATCCCACAGAAGATAAAAGGCTAAACCTTTATTCTCCTTGCTACACAAACAAGGTCCCGCTTTGGGCCAGACCATGTTGTAGGCACCTTCTCTCCTACCAACCCATCCTGTTGTCTCTTTGGACAGACTCCACGCTCCCTCTGATAGCCCCTTTCATCCTCTTCTTCAGTCTCCCTCCTTCTGCTACATCCTTTTTGAGACGGGTTGATCCAACCTGCGTGCCCTATTAGATAGGCAAGTGCAGATCTGTACAGATTTGTACAGGGTAAAAAGGTTCCTGCACTTGCTTTTTTAATTGCCATGGAGCACGGTAGCTCCAGCGACTCACACAAAGCTCCTGCATGTTTCAAGAACCTGTAAAAGGTCTTAATTTCAATTTTAATTTCAACCCCAGCAAAAATTGAAAAAAAACACGCTGCTGCCAACCAGGCCACGTCCCCCCTCATATCAGGACAGGCAGGGCTCCACGGGAGAACTCTGACTTTTCCTCTTGTCCAGAGTGACACTCTGTTCGCCTTAAAAATGCCTTAAGCATTTTTCCTCAGTGCCAGTAAAAGTTTGGAAAATAAAATAAAATAAAATAAAATAAAATAAAACAAAACAAAACAAAACAAAACAAAACAAAACAGTGCTCATCTTCAGCTCCAGCAGCAGAAATCCCAGTACTTCCCCTTAGGAAGCCGCTTGCCCCGATCTCTCCCACCTTTCTCCTCCAGGAGCCCCGCACATCACCCCTGCTTTGCACACAGCCGTCCTCCTGAGCTGTGCCCTTCCAGCACGGAGCTGGGGGCTGGATGAGGTCTCACAGAGACATTACAGACCTCTTCCAGTTTCTTAACTGGTCTCTGAAGAGCTCCTCCGGCGGAGGCCCTGGCTGTTCCCTGCACCATTGCTTTGAGTCTTTGAGATTGCTTTGAGTCCTGGGGAAAAAGGAATCTCACGGTGGGACTAGGAAAGGCAAACGCTCATGCTGCTCAGGATGGGGTCTGACAGATCCGTGATGGAGGTTACGAGGCACGCCTGCCCTACTAACAAGGGCTGATTTGACGTGCCGGGAGGTCCCTCCGGTCCTACCTTGTTAGTCCAGCCTCTCAAACGTGCCCTCGGCTGCTGAAAGCAGACTTTTGGTGAGGCTGCCATTCAGACAAGATGGAACAATGTGGCTCAAACAGCTCTTCCCCCTTTGTGCACACACCATTTATAACAGATGATTCTCTCCACTGCACCATCAAAGCATAATCCAGTCTCTCCTTCCATCACAACCATCCTCGGCTACTCCTGGATGAATTTGTGTCACAACCCCGAGCTCAGGTTGCACCCTCCATCCCTGGCAATGACACCAGCCCTGCCGAATCTCATGCAGCAGAGCCAAAGGTACCAGTGGAGAAGGCAAAAAGCAGCAATGAAGCAACTGCTTGTAGCCCGTGCTGGAGCCAAACCAAGCAATCGTCCTACCACCACCTCCAGACAAACTTCTGTGGTCTTCTCCCGAGGATACCGGTACTGTCTGGAGGGAGAATAAATGGGCACAGCTATCTGGGTATGATTTAGCTCTTCTGGAATAACCGCCCCTGTGAATGCTCTGTATCTTCTCCTTCCAAAAAGCCACTTTTCTTTCAGAGCAGTCTCCACAATGGAATTTTTCCAGGATAGCAATTTCCCCACATGAAGATAACGGTTGAGGAAATTTCATCTTTCTACAGCGCATTTATTTGTCAAGGTTTAAACCGCTCTCCTGATGCCCCCCACTTAAATATATATTTATATATGTATCATACGGACTCTGAATCCATTCTACAAATCAAAGAAGTGAGCCTTTGCACAAACAGATTGGAGGGACGTCCACGCAGCCCTCACGAAGACATTTTAGCTGCCAACAAACTGGTCCCATGAAGCTGTGCTTCAGGCATCCAAACCGATTTGGTCTTGCCAAAACCAGGAAGGTAAATGGACCAAAAAACTCACTAAAGGAATTTAAACCAGATTCCTCCCCCACACACTTTTTTTTTTTTTTTATGTGGGCAAATAAGACATTGCTTAAAAATACTTGCAGCTGAGTTTTTTTCCTTTTGTTTCACATCTGTGTGTACAAATATGCACCAAAAACCCCTCCAGCAGAGCAGTTACAAAAAAGCAAAGTGATGCACTGCTTTCAGACCGGTGCCTAGCAGGTATTTGCATTCTACCTATAAAACTGGTGAGAGCCAGCAGCAAGGCCCAGAAACCAAACCACCTGATGCTCTGTATTTTTTTTTTTGATGTTTTTTTAACAGCACGTAGAAGAGATCTGCTGTTGCTTTGCCAGGCTTCGCTTCCTCCTTACCTTTAGTGCTGCAAACGGAGTCGCTTTCAAAACAGAGAGCATCCCGAGGCCAGCCCCATCCCCTTCCACCCCTCATGGGCTGCTCTGGGCCTCCTCTCCTCCTTTGTGGGGGTCAGTCAGCACTGAACCCCATGGGACCCTCTGTGGGGCCGGCACCTTGCCCAGGACGGTGCCACAAACAGGTGGCATCGGGCATGGGTTTGGCACGGGGCTGCCGAGCTGGTGGGAGCTCGCCGGAGCGGAGCAGGCAGCGCGTGGGGAGCCGAGAGGCACTCGCAACGCTGGCTGTTTGTGTCGAGGCCCTGGGCCCCCCAAGGGACCCATTTTCACATAATCTATAATTATCTCTTCGCTTTAATCGCCTCGTCACTTCTGAGGCTCTCCTGGGCACAGGAAGAGGAAAAGCTCATTAACTGAACCTTTTCTCCTCTCTCCAGCCACCCATAGCTTTTAATTGCTTGGTGTTGTTATTATCTATCAGTGCAACTGGGATCATTTTCATAAGAAAGGGTGGTGGGAGGGGGGGAGGCAGGAGCGGGTCCCTGAGGTATGCACCGCAGACAAACCTTTGCTTTCTCAATTATTTATGCCAGCTGAGGTTTTACAAGCTGAATAAATCCATAACTCAAGTTTATTTTGAGCCGGCGGGCTGTCCCCGGGGAAGCGTTGCCCACTTGCCTGCACACTTGTGCGCCGTCCCCCGAGGGGGGCCGGGACACACAAGACGTGTGCCATCCCACTCCCCAGCCCTCACGGGAGGCCGAGCAGCGTCACCGGTGGTGGGGAGGCCACGAAAAGCCCCCACGGGAGCTGCCAAGGAAGGATGAAGCCTCACAACGGGAGTGAGGCCTGAACGAGGCCGCCCCGCTGCCCAACAGAGCGAAGCGCCCAAGGGTGACTGCTCGGGGGATGCCCTAAACTCCAGGCCAGCTTGGCAAGCGTCTTGGAGGGTCCATTTCTAAATAATGCCAACCTCAGAGCACCGGCATGCCTTCTGGCTGCATCTGCAGGTGTTTTATTCCTGAGAAACGCCTCTCCATTGCGATGATGGGTTGCTCAGGCAGGGCTCTTCCGCAGGGATTTCGTGGACCGGCATCAGTGCAAGGCATGGTGCCGACCCTCTTTTTTTCCCCACCAGCCAGCGATGCCAGCCCCGTCCCAAAACAAACGCTGCCATCGTGTTCTTGTTCCCGATGCCGGCATTCCCGGAGGGAAGGAACAAAACCCCCCGACCGCGCTCCGGGCTCTTCCCAAAAGCCGTCACGCCGCGGCAAAGCAGCATCTTTACAAACGGATGCTGGAAGCGGCTCTTTAAAATTCAGCAGCCTTTGTGCCTGACCACACGCAGCGACCTCTGGTATTTTCTGCCAAAACAGTTCATTTGTCTCGCAGAACAACTAATCAATTCCAGAGCCCATCAATCACGGGGGGGCTCGCGCAAGCCGGCCGGCAGCGGGGCCAGATGGCGGCTGCGTTAGCGGGATTAATACAATTCTGATAGATTACACCGCATCAGCCGGGCTCCCGGACCCGGGGGGGACGGGCGAGCCCTGGGATGGGGGGGACAGAGGGGTGCTCGCCACCCAGTTGCCAAAACACCAGTGCTCACTCACCTGCGGCTCCTAAACGCGCCTCCTGGCCGACACGGGGTACTCTTTGCTCCTGAGCACTGCAGGAAAGCGTTCAGGTTTTTTAATTTTTAGTAGCAAAAGGGCTTCCCTCGTCCCTCGGGATGGTAAAAGTGTGAAACTCAACTCAGCTCAGCCTTGGTGCTTCCATGCTGGGGTGCTGGGGCTGAGCGCCAGAGGGCTCCCACACGGAGCCGTTTGGCAGCAGGGTTTTGTGTTCGCACCTTGCCAAGTGAATGTTTTCGGGTGCTGGAAACATTTGTAAACTGCCTTTTTTTTTTTTTGGGTCTTTAAAAAAATATTTAAAAATAACTTTAAAGTTGAATTTCCAATTCCGCGGTATTTCTGGCATCTCGCTCAGCCCCTGTCTCAGATTTACAGCAGTGACACGCCAGTCAGCCTCACCTCACTGTTTATTTCCCAGGTTTGTGAAACACTAATTACAGTTATTTGATCACGGAGGAGCTCAACTACTGCTGCTTTTGTTCTGGTGTTACAAGCAGACATAAAGCTGGATGCAACAGTAAAAACCAAACCAACCCTCACCGTCCCCAGCCCCGCTGGGCTGAGCAGTCTGCAGTCCCCGATAATTTCGCAGTCCTTCCTTTCAGGGAACCTCCAGGTTCCCCTACCAGCACGCTTTGTTTTTCTGGAATGCCCAAAGCCAGATAAGTGATTTACAGAGGAACACAAAGGCAGAGCACTATGCTAATACGCTGTGCAACTGCTCCCCATTAGTCACTGGGGGTACTTCAGCTCTTTATTGCCAGGGTTTATTAATGACTCCTAATTGATGACCAGTGCCCAGCACCCCAAAGTAAATAACTGCTACGCCTCATTAGCTCAAGAGACCTTCTCCTGATTTGAGGATTGATCTATGAACACACAAATTGCACCGATTTAACTGAATCTCTGTCTAAATTGATTTAATTAGATCGGTATAACCTGTTTCTACAGATGCTCTTGAATTTATTTGGAACCTTCGCAGCGTAGTTACGTGAGCCAGGCTGACCATTTTGCTGTCCTGTTCTCAAAGTAGTAATATTTGAGATAATTAGTGATTAGCCAAAATCAGTGCTTGTACCACCCTGGTTCCTCCAATTTCTGATCCGCCTGACTTTATGGCAGGGCATGGCAGCTCCGCCTTGTCCAGCATTTACAGATTCGCACCCTAAAAGCCAAGCACTTCATCCCACAAAATAAATGCGAGCATTATTTAATTTCAGACACTCAGTTTAAAAGCAGTAGCATTGCTGCTTTGTTTGGTAAATGACTGCTGACAGTAAATTCGTGGTTTACACTACATTTAAAACAAGATCTCTCATCTCCCTATTAACCTACTCCGAGCTGCTGCTATGTAATCATTTGTTAAACTGCTCAAAAGCTTCTGGTAAGAATAAATTACGCGGATCTGCTTAGGTGAACCTTTAAAACTCTGCACTTGCATTCTTATTCTTGTCTATCTGCTGGTGCACGGCGAGGTGGTGAAGATGCTGGGCTCCAGATGAATTAGACAGCCTTTCTCTGCCTTCGCATCAGCTGAATCCTAAAGGGCACACGGCAGGCTGTACTTGGCTCGGTGCTGCCTGCTAAGAGATTCATTGCTTTCAGCAGTCTGTCAGAACCCAAGGCTGGTGAGGACTCGAGTTTTAGTTTTTAATACACAAAATAAGATTTTCCCTCGTTCTGGGCTTTCTTAAAGTGACCCCGTAACTGGGAAATATTTATCCCATCAACAGCTCAGGGAAACAGAGACTAAAGTGGATTGATTTATATTCCAATTTTTGCAGGCTTGTTGTAAAGGCTCGGTAAGGCTCACCATTGGCAACCGAGTACACAAACAGGTTTCTTTTCTCAGATCTTAGGCTATGAACTAGCACCCACTTACTGCTAATTACCAACACGCAGATTTTTGCTGGCTCAGGGCATTAAGTTTTCTTTCTTCTTCTGCTTTCCCCACCCCTGAGGTGGTATTAACAAACTAAATCACTTCTATGCTCTAAATACATTTGGATACCAAATTAAATGTCCAGAGCCATCCTTCTTAGCTTCATTTGCTTTCAGATTTTGTACCAGAGCAATTCTGTGGGTGAGACTCACTCCCCATCTTACAGGTGAGGATGCTGATGCCTACTAGCCAAGCACTGCTAAAGGACCAGCCGAGTTTCTGTTCTGCGAGCAGCGTGAAGAGACTTCTTGTAACTCCCTTTCGGCAGAATCTCACTCTACCAGCTGTGTCAGTGGATACATCCATCCATAGCTGAAGCTTGTAAGGATTACAGCTATGCTGTACGAGACCACAGCTATCAGGGCACTGATACCCACACAGTGCACTGCTTTCCACGTGGTATGTTTGAAAAAAAGTATTTGGAGCTGCAGTCACCTTCAAGTCCTTCATGAGCCATGTTCTCATAGGAATGAAAACAAAAATACAAAGAGAAGATTGAGACCAGTTAAGCTAACCAGGACAAAACCTGTTTTCCTGTATATTGGGCTGTATTTTGTGATCAAGAAGGGCCACAGGCAATACCTGGGATAGCCACAACTCTGAAAGAACTGTAGGAGTAAACATTTTGTTTCATTTCAACGCTGTGCAGCACTGATATGTTCAACTCCTGAAGGAACAGCTCAGACAGAATCCAAACCACAAGGTCAAACTGTGCCATCAAGGACGTGAGCCGAGACCCCTACTGACAGAGCAGGGAAGAAAAAGGAGCTTGTGGCTAGCAGAAGTGCTATTCCTCAAGCAGTTTGTTAAACCAACGTCATACTTGCCCAGCTCTGGTCAAGGTCCAGGGACAAGTTAAGGACGTGTTGGCTCTCTGAGCCAGGTTGGAAAGGCTGCTCCTGGCCAACTGTTCCCTCTTGCCGTGCAGCACACTGCAATGCCCACTGCTGCCGCTGTGTTTGCTTACTCAGGACATCTACCCGAGCTCCTTGCAAAAGGTTTGAAGCCACCAGCTCAAGATTTATTTTTTATGAGTTTGCGACAAGTCAAAGAAATGCTGCGTTAGAGTTTTAACACTTTGGGAAAATTCCCAGCCAGCCTGGGAGGGGGTGTGTAGAGAAAACAGTGTTTATCTTCTAATTTCCTGGGACTGAAATGATGCAAGGCATACAATAAAACAAATGGGATCACAAACACATAAATGGGTAACTGCAACGTGACAGCAAACACTGCTCAAACATTTAGTCTTCTCTGACTGTTCATTTTAACTAAAAATGTTGCCACATTCTCAAAGATTCTCCAGGCGATCATTTATGTATTGGAGTTAATATTACTCCCGTGATTAGAAGTTTAGTAGTTTGAAACAGGAAAAAAACCACCAACAGCTGTCCTTATTCAGTAGCTAATGTCACTTACTACTTGCACCTTGACAGTTTTTAAATAGCAGCCATTCTACTTCAGTGAATGCATTTCTGCTACGCTAGCTGCAGAAGCTGGAAAAAAATTAATTTGATATAGGGTGCAAACTCTCCCCGAAGGCAAACACTGTCCAATATTAAAACCTTCACTGAACAATCCTTAATGAATATATTGGTAAAGAAATAAATATTTGAGAAAGGTGGTGTCTGAATAGCTTTCTATTAAAAAAGCCAATATTAGGCTTTTTCAGCCATATAACTGAAAAATGGGAAGCCTTGCCCTTCCCCCACATCTCGCACTAGGGAAAGGTTAGTACCTGGCAATGATACAGAGAGTTATTGATTTAAATGATTATGGACCTGAAAAGTTCTTTCCTGTCATTTATTATCCTGTTGTAGTTGCCACCACACTTGTGTGATATTAAAAAAAAAAAAAGCTGCACAAGACGACATCAGAAAACACTGTTTTTAACTCAAGTGCGGCAGAGATAATCACCTGATTGTTTCTTCTTGATACAACGAGCTGACAACTGGGCCTCCAAATGCAGTTTTGCTTTCTTTTCCCCTCTTCTCTGTTGTCTGAAAGAAAAAGAAAGATTGGTCCAGCATCTACCTGCCACCCCTCCATCTCCCAGCCCCGGGGATGAGAGCCCCCTGGTTGCCTTATCTGCATGGCAGACCGCATCCCGTGACCCCACGCCGTCCAGAAAAGCTGGGTGCATCTCTGGGCAAACTGGGATCGATGCTTCCCCGAGTGTGGCCAGCTTGGTCACCCAGAGGTGTGTGTAGTGGCCTCGCCGCCCCGCTGGTGTTGCCTCCACACCGCAGCGTTTTCAGCCGTGGCCCCCAAGGACCCGAAAGCCGAGGCTCTGTGCGGCAGCATAATGTTACGTTACTAGACTGCAAAGCTTGCCTTTGTAAATCTATTTAATATAGATTTAAAATTAAATTTCTATAATGGGCAGCATTTCCAAATGATTGACTCCCAGGAACTCTAGGATTCTGAATGATCCCCACCGTAATAGAAGCGAACAATTAGAGCTGATTGATCGATGCGCAGCCTCAGGCCTCCCTCTGCAAAAACCTCCCGCAGTCTGGGCTCTCCGACTGCTTTTCCTCTAACCTGATGCCAGATTTTCAGCAGGGCTGTCTGAGAGCCCGACCCTCTCAGCAGGACATCAGAAGCCCTGATTTTTTCCAGGGAGTCTGGTATCTCGGTCCTTAGGTGAGCGGGCGAAACTGGTTTGCAATTCACAGCAGTAATTCCTTACGAGAGCAGCCCATTAAGTGCAAGATGCTGCTGGCAGAGGACAGCTCCCTTGCCTTCCGTGACAAGGGATTATCATACCCAAGCTGAATAAAAGCAGAGAAGCGAAGGAAAGCTGGCCCAACCTCGAGCCCTCTCTTGGTGGATGCAATACATTGCTGACTACACCAAAAATGTTGCTGCCTCATCATAAATCTACCCGGAAAGATGTTGATTTTTTAAAGTAAAACATGCTTAAATTTGCCTTTCTTCCTGCTCCCTAAGTTGCTTTTATTTTAAACAAATTTGCTTTTTCCCCATAATAAATTTCCATTCTGCCTGGCTCAAACCCACCAACTCCACCTTTCAGCTCTCCCGTGCTAGCCCAAAGCCATAATATTTGGGTTTGCAGATATCTCAGACAAGCTTTTTTAAAAGAAAAAATAGAAGGGAAATTGGCTTTGAAGGCTCTTCCATGGCAAGTTGGCTTTCTCTAATTTAGAGTAAAAGGTGACACGAAGTTCCTCCTTCCTGAAGCAAAAGGGCTTTGGAGTCTCCACAGTGCAGTGCCCCTCTTAAAAAATTATTCAGCAGAGAACCTTCCTGTCCACCAATTATTTCCACACCACTTATAAAGAAAATTAATTTCAGATCATCTGCTATTGCACGGGAGAGCTATTTCTATAAAATGAAGCTACGTTCACAACCAGCCGATCTCCTTGGATGCTGGGGGCCGATGGCCTTTCCACCAGTTCCAGAAGCTACAGGGAAATTTTTAATCTATATTCTTCCCTTTCTTCCCACTACCACTTCTCGGTGGTTGCTTTTTTCAAAGTCAGAAGCAACTCTTGAGCGAATGCATTTCATCCTTCTCGAGGCACAAATCGTAAGAAAAGGTTTCTTGGATTAAGTCCCCCCTCTTTGCGCAACCAATGCATTTCCACCAAAGATTAATCTTCTTGATCGAGTACACCTAAGGTCAGCGGGAAACTCAGCGATAAAGGCTTTCCCAAAAACGCTCACGCAAAAACTTCCCTAGCTCTCAATCCATGCACAGGTTGCTTTGTCCAAGTCGCTTTTATCTCCTCTCTTTCAGCCAGGAGCGGGGAACTCAATATCCCATTTGTGAATGCTGAACCCAGTTTCTTCCATCACGGCCCTCAATATGGAGAAAAAATTCATGAAAAATGCCCAGCAAACGGCTCGGCTCGCCTCTCAGGATTCAGCACGTGCCTCTCCTCTGCAAAGCCATTAAAAACAGCCCCGCGGTCCAACATCCATCATCGCCCCGGATTTCCCCAGGGGAATCTGGCCAGGCCAGGAGCCACGCTTCTTCCCCGGAGCGCCGGTAAGGCTGCCTTGATGCAGATTGGAACTGGGTGCCTTCCAGCCACCCTTGACGCCTTGCCTATGCCGTGAGCTCAGCCAGTACCTGCGCCACGGCATCCAAACGCGACGTGGCAAGCCAGGCGGGTAATGCAAGAGGTGGGACAGGAGCAGCTGCTCGCTCTGAGCCACCCCGGTGGTGTTATTTGCTGCTCATACCAGCCAAAGTGTCCCTGTTGCAGATCCCTTTCTTAATCTCCTGGCATTCCTACGCTGAACGAGGGCTCTTCGGGCTGGAAAGATAAAGCAGACGTCACACGCAGACGGATGGCAGGCAGTGAGTTACCGTGCGAGCCACAATGAAATTAAAAACTGACGCTGCAAATTCCCTCTCCTCCGTTAAAAAAGGCCCCAATAATTAACTATGTAGCTCTCAATTAAGCCAGCTCCATTTCTTTCACCACTGGCAGCACAGGCCGAAGCACTGCAGCTACACGTGTAACTAATGAGAGCTAAGAAATAACACCATCCCAGGCTCCCAGAATTCGCAATCTGAATCCGAGACAGATGCCAGCTGTATTATCTGCAGTCAGGACCATGTAGGAGATGCTGGAGAAAAAGGCAAAATTACAACGTGCCCCATGGGCATGAAGGAACTGCTCTCAAGGTGCTGGTTAAAGAACTGGGGATATAGGGGAACTTGAAGCAGCACGGCAAGAAGTCCTGGAGGATTGCACTCACATGCTGAAGAACAAGCAGTGTCACAGAAGAGATCCAGGAAGAGGCGGTAAAGGGGTGAAGAAATGCCTTAAGAGGCACTGGCATTTCCCACGTTTACCCCTAATTATTGCTGATTGATTCTTTGCTGCTTGCATACCCTTACGGCTGACAGCGAAGTCACTTTTATTCTTGACAGTTAACTTCAGCAGGTGGATCTGGTTGACCGAAGCCAGCATAAATCATGGGCAAACGCATGCTTCTGCATGCAGCAAACGCACTCATTAGAGGCATTTTCAAGCCCCCTGACTGGCAATGCCTTCACGGGGCAGCACGGGGAGCTCTGCCGCAGGAGAAAAGCCACACTTGTGCTGAAAGGGACAGCAGAGCATCCTCATCCCTGCCTCCAGGCACTGTATTTGTCAATAAAAGACCGGCTCGATTCAAGCTACGTTCGCCTCCTGACTGCCTGTCACGGACAATGCTGCTCCAGGCAGCCTCAAAGCCTGACAACCACTTTCGGAACAAAATGGAAATACGGGGACTAATATTTGCTAACATCATTAATTCATTTTTTGCCCCACTCCCCCTTCTTCCTTTATCCACGATGTCAAGATGTATACCTTTAAATTGTTGTCAGCCATAAACCAAACATCGTGTCCCAGTTCAGAGGTTAACATATAATGACAGACACATTAAAAAACCCTGTCCAATGTCTCACTGACAATTTCAGCTCCATCTTTTCTTCAGGAAGACAGTAGCTCAAACTCACTTATAAGCTTTAACAACATTAAAGTCTAATTGTGATTGAAAAAGAAAGGAGAAAGAAGATAGTTTTATCCTACTAAGCATTATGGAAACGAAAAGCAATTACAGAGGCAAACATTTTCTTTGCAGGGGTTTTGTGTTCACCTTCGGTTTTGGTCTTAAAAGTCTCCCGTGATTACAGCATGATCCATTTTTCCTCCTGCCTTTTTGGGCAGCAGGAGGAAAAGCATAAGAGAGAGGTAATTTCCTGTCAAGTGGGTGGTTTGGCAGGTTAACCTCTCGCTGGATCCCTGAAGCTAGGGCAGGGATTTATTGCTTCTTGTCTCGGAGCCCAGGATTTGTTTGGATGTACACAAAGCAGGCTGCCACAGATCTCACAACGTGCCACTTCCAAAGGGCCCTTCTGGTGCCTCACTGCCCTCCTGTGCCAGCACTCGCTGCAGGGATGCGAGGGAGCTTACTGGGGCATTACTGGGGCTGCACTGGGCCCCGTCCCACACAGCTGTTTTATGGGTGACTGAAGAAAAGGTACACAAGTCCTACAAAGACACAGCAGAGCAGCAAGAATAGCACGTGTTTTTTTTGTTTGTTTGTTAAGCTGTAATATATCAGAAAAGCTAGATTGTAGGCAAGAGTTAAATATAGGACATCCTAACTTTATTCAGAATAAAATTAGACCTCTGACAAGTTTTGTGCAGAGGAGCAGCACTACCTGGCACATGGGAAGGAGACAAGAAACACCCCCAGTAAGGTCATTACAATAAAAACTTTCCTGAAGTGTTCCCGCAGAGGTGAATACACAGCCCAGAGGCTTCCATCAATGCTTGCTCTGCACCAATCTTCCTACGTCCCTTCCTACGTGGCCCTAAGGGTCCTGAGCCTGGAGGAGCTGTGAGCTCTGGGCATCCATGGAGGTTTGCTTGGTGGCAGCAGGAGAAAACTCATCCTGAGTCCAACCTGCCCAAAGTACACCCAGGAGATGATCAGTTGTTCCAGCCTCAGCTGCCACGACGGGACAGGCATCGTCCTCTAACCCCCTCAGGCTCGCACGAAGTCAGCAGCAAACCCTTGAAGCGTGCTGATTGAATTGTAATTAAGCTGGCATTGTCTCAGGCGACAAATTTGACAGAAGACGCCTCAGAGCTAACCCAGGGGTAGACCTCAAGGAGTGCTGTGCTGGTTACCACGTCCCCTAAATGCACCGGATTAACATTTCTGCACACCATTTGAGGGGTGAGGATTATTAGGGAGGCAACAAGAAAATGTAAACTCTCCTAAAGTTTCAGCCACCCCCTCCCTCCTCTCCCCCTGTGTCATGGCCCGGCTGTCCCCCTGGGAAGGGAACTTGGGCAGACACTAATTGTATTTGACAGCAGCAATTACACGCAAGGCTGGAGATTAGAAGCTCGTTAATTGTGTGTGCCATAATTGCTGCCGTCTTTCCCTTTACTAGCCGAGGCCAGTGCCAGGAGAGCGATGAGGAGGAGGCTGAGCTGCACCCCAAACGCAGGTGGTCCGGGGA